AGAAAGAAATTAGAGACGAATAAACAAAACGTGCAAACCATGACAAGATTGCAATTCGATGTGTATAATATTATTTTAAATTTATACAGATTTTGAAATCTAGAAAATTTCAATTTTTTGTTTCTTTTTTCTGGTACTAATAATTAATACTACTGTATATAACGTTCTTGGAACTGAGTTGATTGTCAAGTGATAATAAGCCCCAGTCTGATTCCCATTACGTAGAAAAATTAATGGGGGGAATAGTGTTTTTTTGAAAAATGAGTGGTTGAAAAAGAATGAAAAATTTTCGATTTACGTGTAATATTATTTTATGGAAAATTGTGTGGTTAAAAATACGAGAAAGAAAAATGAAATGTAATAGAATTTAATGTAATGGGATTCGAATAGGGGTTAAATTGTTTTGACAAGATGGCCAAAAAAGTTGAGGTCAAATGTGGATAATATCATTTCTATTTGATTTATTTATTTTTAAATCCAGCCATAATCATTTTATTCAAACTGCAAGATATATGTACCCATGTAGTCAGCACAGGTTGAATTTTTTATTTTTTCTATATGAATGACGAGTGTGCATTTTTTTTTTTTTTTTTTTTTTTAAGTTCGGACTCAAAATTTTTAATTAGATCGGAATCCTAAATGAATTTCAGGAATTAGATATTTCAAGTTATAATTAACTTTTCATAAAGTCTCCAAATAAATCAAAAACATTATTCATATCTATACTATTAAGAAATTGGAGTGTCTTAATTACCAACCGTGAAGATACAGACAAATTTCTCTAAGGCAGTGTTTGATAACACTGCAATTCCCAGGAAAGTGGAATTTGATTTCCACTTTTCACAAATTCCATTGTTTGATTGTACATTTTTGCAATGGAAATCAATTTCCAAGTTTTGCTGCCACACGCTTGAATTCCTTGTTTTTGAGGAATTTCAATTCTTACGGGTTTCATAAGAATTGGAATTCCATGCTATTTTTTTATTTTTTTTTGTCCCTTTTTTTATTTTTTATTTTTTTTTGTTTGTTAGCAATGAAAATGAATTCTAAGATTTATTGTAAAAAATTATTTCCTTTTAATTGACAATTTTCATGTAAAACAAAGCCAAACGAACATCCAAAGACAGATGATTTTCTTGATTTTTTTTTTTGGCATTGGAAACAAATTTCATTCTCAATACCAGTAAATTCTATCACTTTAATTGTTTTTTCTCAAAATTTTATTATCGTTTATATTGATGATGTTCTTATTTATTCAAAGAGTATTAAAATAGCATTTCAAGAATTTAAATACATTCATTCATATAATCAAAAAAAATGGATTAGTAGTTTCTGCAAAGAAAGTTGTGCTTTGTCAAACAAGCATTAGGTTTCTAGGACATAATTTCCACTTGGGAACCATTACTCAAATCCAAAGAAACTTAGGCAGTGTTTGATAACACTGCAATTCCCAGGAAAGTGGAATTTGATTTCCACTTTTCACAAATTCCATTGTTTGATTGTACATTTTTGCAATGGAAATCAATTTCCAGGTTTTGCTGCCACACGCTTGAATTCCTTGTTTTTGAGGAATTTCAATTCTTACGGGTTTGGCTTTTTATTTATTTATTATTTTTTTTTTTGGCAAAGGAAACAAATTCTATCCACAATTGTAAAAATAAAATAAAATTATCTATTTAATTGACAATTTTCATGTAAAACAAAGTCAAACGAATACCAAAAGATCCAAATTTTCAACATTTTTCAGGTGGAAAATTATACCAATCAAATATATTTAATTAACAATTTTCAGTAAAACAAGTTCTAGACAATTCAATTTCCTAGAATTCGTTTTTTTCTTCACCAAAAATCCATTTTTGCAATTAAACAGACCCTAAATTTATTTCTTCTGACTTCTAAGTTACTTAAACTTGAGTTACATTCAATTAATTCTTTTCTGAAGAGCTGAAATTTTATTATTTTCTTGTAAAGGATTTCCTAATACATTTTAAAGCATTTGCACAAATTTATTACTCAATAATCATGAATACAATCCGATATCACTAGTGATGGCAATGGGGCGGATATGGGTTGGGGCACCCTTACCCACACCCGTCCCACTAGATATTTTCACGTCCCATTTAAGTCGGGGACGGGTTGGGAGCGGAGCAGGGCTGGGCGGGGCGGGGCAAGTCTCATGCCCCATTTATCACCCCATTTATTTTTTCTTTTTATTTATTTTATTTATTTTATATTTTTTGGCTTTTCTTTTTTTATGTCCTTAGTTAATAAATATTATTATTTTTTCCCCAATTTGTTAAAAACAACTTATGTTCTCTTTAAAAATGATGATAAATCAATTATTTTTGTTTGATATTAACTTATATTTGAAATTAATATTAAATGGGCCGGGTAACGGGGCGGGGACTATGTTTCCCGTTCCCATCCCATACCCGCTTCGGGTATTCCCTTACCCATTCAGGGTGGGGCCCCATGAGTATTGGGTTGAACGGATTTTTTTGCCATCTCTAGATATCACCTCCCAGTATAGGCTCTAATATTACTTTTGAAATTATTGAATGAAAGTAGATTACCAATAAAGAGAATTAAATTTATCTTTTTCCCCAAAATTCATAAACCTAAATGACTTTAATTAATAATATCATGTTTTTATAAGTATATTGTTTGTTGTCTATATCATGTCGTTAATGCACCATAATTTAGTGATAGATAAATGGGTAATTAACAAGTAGGAACGACATTCTTGTTTCAGTTTTCTATAACACAATCTTGGTTAAGGTTAAAACAAAAGTAAATTTACTTATATAAAAATTATAAACCCATCGTGGCATGTTTGGAGCTTTTAAAGTCACTTCAAGTTAATTTATCTTCCAAACGTGTTGAGCATTTTCTTCTAAAAGTAGTTGGTCTTTTTTTTTTTTTTTTTTTAATTAATTAATTTATTTTTTTATATCCAGGTATCCTAGCTTACACTAGATTAAATCCTGGACCTCCAAGATCCATGCCCCTAGAACCTTGGAGGGGGTAAATCGCGGGATATACTTCAACTGGATCACAGGTTCCCCCATTGACTGTACACTTCTGCGCACAAGAGACCATCCTTCACAGTGATTGTTCCATACCAAATTTTTTGGCCGCAAGTTCATACCGTATATGCAACTTACCGTATTTTTAGATAGCTTACCGTATATACTGTCTACAATATATACTTTTAACCATATTTGCACATATTGTTTTACCCATTTCATATATACTGTATTTCCATATACCATATTTTCACGTGCCGGTTTTGCACTTAAACATACCAAAATTACAGTAATTTTTTCCAGATTTTTATTTTTAACATAAACAAAATTAACGCAAATTAATTTAATAAACATAAATACAACGATAACATAATAAAACTGCAAATTATATGAATCACACGAGAATAAACGCTAAATAAATAAATCTGCAAGAATAAATTGCGAAGTGTAATCGCAAATAAATAAATAGCTGAAGAATTTTCAATCCGAGACCCGCGCGAACACAGTTTCCTTAAAACAGATTTTCTCTTCACCGTAAGTGCTTGAGGTCTAATTAGAGCGTCTGTTTCCCAAGATACAACGGTAAAACCCGTAGAATCTGAACACCACAGATTCTACTCTAATGAATTGAGTTTGTATTCGAACAATATCACCACCAAGACAACGCTGAAAAGGCAATAGATTATGTATACAAACAACACTGATTTGCAGAATATTTTCGTGTGTATGCAGACAATAATTTCCTGGTGTGTATTGTCATGGTTAAAATTGCAGGAAATGAGACTTAATATAAGATTAAATCCGCCTATTAAATCCATAGCTCACTGGAGTTGTTTCATTTTCTGGGAGTATTGACAGTTTTTGGAAACTCAAAACTCAGTTGAAGAAAGTAAAAAATTGCAAAACGTGGACATTCCAAATGGGCCAACTTTTGCTCCGTTCGATCCGACATTTGTGTACCCTGCGCTGCGCTCACACACAAGTTCAAGATCCAAATGCAATTTTGGCCCTTGATTTGCACCTCTCTGCGCGCGCACATGGAGAGAGTCTCTATGCTACACATGATTACACCCTTCCAATGTGCAACCAAATTTAAAATGGTCTTACTTTCATATTTTTCCTATGTGGAACAAACTCATTTTTCCCACATAAATCATTTTTCAATGATCAAGTTTGAGCTCTAATTTCTCATTCACCCAATCTTCATTTTTGGCAAGTAAATATATGATTTTGATATTCTCACAGAGGAAAATACGGATCAACTTTAATCTTTCAAATTTGACCAACGGGTCCACCAAAAGTGTGCCTAAAGTGAACCATTTACTCATATTTTCCAACATCATCTTCTTCTTCTTTTGACCTCATTACAAACATTTGCTAATAATATTAGCATCATCTTCCTTAAACAAAAGGAAGGCAAGTTTGCTTATTTGTTAGCTTCGCCAGAGAAGTTCAGATCTACTGTCGAAAACAATATTTAAAAGAGCAAGTGTTGTCTCTTGATTAGTTAATGAGGAGGTGATTAACATAGTATCAAAAATGAAAAGGAACTAGATTTTAGATTTTCACCACCATTTTTGAAAATTATATTATGTTTTGAAAATAATATTTAAATGAACAAGTTTTACACCTCCCTAAAAGTTAGACCTTTAGAATACGTAATTGATAAGTATCATATTGGACGTTAATAAGAATAAGAAGTTAAAATCTCAAATTTCTCGGCCAGTTGCTCATTTTGCGTGTGTGTCCTGGCTCTATATATATTGATCAAAACTAATATAATACTGTTATAAATCGCAGGGGATTTATTCTATACCTATTGTACAAGTTAACTTGCATCATATACCTTCATCATATATAACCATTTCTTGTCTTGGATTTCAAGTAATACAACTTTTATTAATCTCCTTTCCTATGTAACTTTTCTGCACATGAACAAGTTATTCTTTTCTTTCTACTTGCAAAAGACTCAAAACATTCCGACAGCAACTCATAAATGGTTACATAAATATGGCTTCTCTCCAAAATGAGCTCTGTTCACCAACACTATAAACACTTTTACCTTTAACTAGCAGCCAGAAAGAGTAAAAATGAGATACCAGAAAGAAATACCCATTGAATCTACCACCGGAAACCACCCCATGAAGCGATACCACACGGCGCGTTACTATGCCCACCGGGTGAAAGAAAGTCTAACCACCAGAGTTTCCAAGCTAATTTGTGCCATATTTTTAGCCCTTCTATTTCTTGTAGGCATTATCGCATTCGTTTTGTGGCTCAGTTTGCGTCCTCATCGGCCACGATTTCACATACGAGAATTTTCAATCCCCGGTTTAGGACAAGAAAATGGGTTTGCAAATGCTCAGATAATCTTCAACGTAACAGCCCGTAATTCGAACCAGAATGTTGGGTTTTATTACGATACAATTCAGATGACAGTAAACTACCAGGATCAAAGTATAGGCGGGGAAACATTGGCACTTCCGTTCTATCAAGAGCCAAAGAACACGGCAATTCTGGCCGGCATACTTGGCGGTGACTCCTTGAAAGTGATGGCTGATCAGTGGCGGCAGTTTGTGGCCGACTGGTCAAGAGGAGCGGTGTTTTTCAGCATTGAATTATCTTCCTCCATTCGTTTCAAAATATCGACATGGGAAAGTAAGCGCCATAGGATACGTGCTACATGCCCAGTTGCAGTTGGTGTAGACGGAGCAATCTTGGCTAATTATAAAGATAAGAGGTGTCAAGTTTATTTCATATAATTTTCTGTCTAATGACATGGAGAATATTTGGAAGTGTTCTAAAGCAACTTTTTAACACTATCAAACATGTTCAAGATAATCATATGCTTTTCATTTGTTGGTTGTTTTTTCATTAATTTTGGGTTTTCTGGGATTGGTTCATTTGCTATATATGGCTCGAGACATTGATACCTTAATTTAGTTATAGTGTAATGGTCCAAATAGTTTGTATTCTTTGTTTGAAAATAACAAAAAATTTAGTGTGTTATCTTATGCCTGGAAAATTAACATTGAATGAAAATACACATTTGCTCACAGAGAATTTATTTTTCACCTGAAGTCTCCACATGCACAATTTACATATAAGGGAAATTAATTTACATAAAAGAGCAATGTTATTATCATAACTGTTAACCCACAAACAATGATGTGGCATTGATTGACAATTGGACAAGGAGAATAACATACAGTATACAGACAATCAGAAAGTTGTTCCGAGCAGTATATTTCCGGCTGGTCTTTGTACTTTACAAGCTCATATGCAGAAAAATTTTCTATATTTCAAATGTAGTTTCTTACTTTCGCCATTCATGAATTGGATTCTGTGGCGTCAGCATTGGGAACTCCTGAAGTGCATACTCAAATAATTTTAAGGGAATAATTGAAAAGAACATTTTGTTGGAAAAATGGGCTTTGTTGAGCTATATTGGACACACTTTTCAGGTGGGACTGTTGGTTCAATTTGTAAGATCAAAATTAATTTGTGTTCTTCTCCGTGAGAATATCGAAATCATGTATTTACTTGCTAAAATTGATGTTCGAGTGAATGAAAAATTCGAGTTTAAAGTGGACCATTGGAAGATGGATAACGTATTAGAGGAAAACCAATTAAGGTTTGTCTCACATAAGAAAATCATGAAAGCTCATACCATTTTATAAATGGCCACAATTTAGAAGTGTGATCATTTGTAGCGGAGTGGATCTCTCCACATGCATACATAGGGGGTGCAAATTAAGGACCAAATCAAAATTTTGGACTTTAAACTTGTGTGCAGGCTTGACCTGCATATCCGAATGAACCAAAAATTAGCCCCTTCCATACTTTGCTTTCAGTTCCTATGAATTAATTTTTTTTCCTTTTGAATGACTGTTTAACTTCTAAAACTCTAAACTGTTAAAACTCCTACAATTATATCTGTTCAAGTGGCTAATTAATGACAATATAACTCACGTATTCATGAGAATTAGCCTATGTAATAGCTCAATTTTCCAATATTCTACACCCAGTTATTCAAGCGCTGTCTTACAAACTACATAGTTTTACAGTCCTTTGTTTGTCCATAATTTGACTATTCCCCCCTAGTTTTTGGTGATAGTGTTCTAACATATATTTTGTTCGTTGGAGTAGAAACTGCAGTGCATAGATTCTACTGGTTTCTTTGTTATATCTTGAGAAAAAACGCTCTTTAAATTCTCAAGCACTTATGGTGAATGAGTGAATATGTTTTAAGGGCATTATGTTTACACAAGTCTCGGTTTGCTAAATATGTTCACTTCCACCGCCATTTTGCTTGTACGAATAGATGGGTTGCTTCAATTGTAATGGGTAAATTGGAAGAAAAATTCTCCAGCCATTGTTGTCATAAAAAGCTTCCATCCATTGTAAAATCTTATTTCTCAATAAATTAAAATTTTCTCCTTCAATTATCTTGTCCTTTTAAATTACTCCCCACTATTTTTATCCTACAAAATATACTCCACATAAAACCATTAAACCATTCCAATCTAATTTACTTATTTCTCCTATCTACTAATAAAAATTATCAATAGTATCAGATCTACATTCGATGTGTATTAGGCGTAAGCATATACTATGATAGACGATTTAGGGTCATCAATTCCCATCCTAATATTTAATGGAAACAACTGTGATTTATGGTCCATTAACATGAAAACCTACTTCTGTGCATAAAATTTATGGGATGTTGCCAATGACAAGTATACTAGATGACATGTTCACCTTAATAGCCGCTCAAAAGAAGTAACTTAAAAAGAATAAACAAAAGCATTCTTTCGCAACATTTTCACTACAAATGAGCTTGGCAAACACTTATTTTTGTAGAATTATTGGAGCTAAAACTGCAAAAAAGGAAAATAAAAAAGAGCTTAGGATAAATTGAAGGAGGAGTTCTACGACCGTGATAAGGTAAGTACTTGCCATCTTCAAACTTTAAAAAAGAATTTTGAAAATATAAAAATGAAAGATTTTGAAACAGCAAAAGATCATTATCAAATAGTAAATCAACTAAAATCTTATGGAGATGATGTTCCTTAAAAGAAATTTGTTGAAAAATTTTTAACTACTTGCATAGAAAAACATGTTACAATTATTGCAGCTATTGAAGAGTCTAAAGATATAGATAGATTAACAGCTACAAAATTAATGGGTTCACTAGAAACACATGACAAAATATTAGAAGTGCATTATGAAATTGACATAGCTAAAATTAATATGCGGTTTAAAAAATATAAAGAAGGTGGGAGAAAATTTAAAGAAATTCTAAAAATACATAAACTTAAGGAAAACAAGTAAATAATAGTGGAAAGTATTTTCCATGTGGTGTTTATAAAAGAAAAAGTTATTTGGAGAAGGATTGTTGGTTTAAAGAAAATCATAGTACTGTAGCTGGAAAAAATTTGGACTTGAAGAAAAATTCTATAATTTTAAACAAAATCATCAAGCTAACTTCTTTGAAGAAAAGGATATAGAAGTAAGTCTATTGTATGCCTACAATAAGGATGTATCTAAAGAGAAAATAAATACGTGGTATCTAGATAGTGGCTACAGTAATCACATGATAAAATATAAAAGTATTTTCTACAGTCTTGATAAAATTAAGATAGATCAAAATTGGCAATGAAAATCTCATAGAACCAACAAGCAAATGTACAATTGCCGTTGACACAAAAAATGTACGAGATATATCAATGAAGTTCTCTTGGTCCCTACAATATATCAAAACCCACTAAGTGTGGGTCAAATGATGGAGAGAGGATATAATTTACATTTTGAAAGGGATTTTTGTACAATCTATGATAAGAAAGATAAATATTTTGTAATTGCAGAAGTCCAAAAAGCAAGAGATCACATGCTTTCCAATTCAATGGAGATACATAAACAAAGCGATAAAGATGGTGCAAATAGATGAGTCATGGCTATTGTACAGAAGATTTGGACACTTTCACTTCCACAGGTTGAAGATCCTACAACAAAAGAGCATGATGAGAGATCTATCAATTATAAAAGAGATTGATGTAGTTTGAGAATAATGTTTGCTTGGAAAATAATATCGTCAACCATTTTCGTCGAAACATATAGATGTATACGGTCCGATACGTACTTCATTTTCTTCATTGATCATTACATTAGAAAATATGTGTATACTTTTTGCACGAGAAATCCCAAGTTTTTGAGATTTTCAAAAAGTTTAAAAGCTAAGTCAAGAAGCAAAGTAGTCGCAATATCAAAACAATCAGAAGCGATAGAAGCAAATAATACACTTAAAATGAATTCAACAAATACTGTAAAGATGAAG